TATTCCAGCTATGTGGCGGCGGTCTGTAAATAATCGAGTCTGTACCAGACAATCCAGGGATCAACAGCATGACCATCGATCTACGTAATTGGGATACGATGACTTGTGTCCACCTTCTGACATATTAGAATACGGGTAGAATGTGTGTTTCAGTTGGGCAGCTGGGCAGGGAATCTGATGCTGAAGAACCTCAAAACTGAGTTCCCGTCTGATGTCTTCACCATGTTCGAGACAGTCGGAGCGACGCTAACTATTGGTAAGGAATGGGGCTATGATATACAGGACATTCAAGTGAGAATCAAGTGAGAAAGTGAGGTCGTTCATAGAGACTTCCCTTCAACAACTGAGCCTGTGCCCTTAGCTTGGTTGACACTTATTGCAGTACCGTTCAGTACCAACAACAAAATCATCATTGGCATCGTGACTGTGTCCAGCATCCTTTTTAAAAAACTGTGGAATGCCATCATTAATTTTGTTTTGGATGGAAAGATAATCATCAGACAAATAAATGTGCACAAACTTCTTTCAACCCCAACTTCTTTTCTGGTTCCACTCTGTTGCTTGTCAATAGTATCCTTTATGGTCCAGTATAATGATACAAGATCTGTTAGCCACTATGTAAAATGATGGGATATTTTAGAATCAGTCAAATCACCTTTCTTTGGAGGAAGTATTGTTCGACCTATGCACAACCAAGGTAAAACAATTTCTGGATCTATGATAGAATTGAAACAGTAAAACATGCACTGGTGCCGTATTTGATTTGGACATTCTGATTACTATTTTCAGGCATTCAAGTGTAATGAAACACGACAATATAGATTTTACTGTTTCTTGTACATTATTTTGGTAATCGTCTACCCATGGTCTCTCGAGGATGGTGTTGCCTGGTAGAGACAAATGTTTCCAAAATCTATTCCAGGAATCCATAGTGGGTCTTCCTCATCAGTGACTTCAGTTGTTGTAAAAAATACTTCATCATTCTTGAAAAGTATATTTTGTTTGATGTCCAAATCTTTTCTTCTTTCTGCCAACATCATTAAGTTTGCATTCAAGTACCCGATGGTCACAAACCATGTACATCTATCTTTGTGTAGGATCGAGTGATGGCACAGAGAAATCATACAGTCTCATGGACTTCCTGACGCTAGACATGAAGGGCAAGGTCATCCTGTCTATCACACTGCCAACATTTCCATCTGGAGATGTGTATGTGAAGACCTTCAAGGTTACTCAGAGACACCAGGTACATAGTTTAAACAATGCCCCCTTGGATTCAGGTACATAATGTGATTGTATAGTGGCTCGAAATAGGCAATAAAAAAACAAAATACATCATTAAAGTTCATGTTCATGTCTTGCAACGTAGGATGCCAGGTACAGAACATACTTTTCAATCTATGCTGATGTTAGATGACACCATGTTATGTAGGGCTTGGGTGAAACAGGCGACAACGCACTAGTGTTGGGAATTGGTTAAAATCTCATAATTGATGATTGCTTCATTACAACCGATCAATCATCGAAAATATTTGGTTAGCGTCATTTATGAATTTTCCTGGCTATTTTTGTTAATGCACAAAACCATAAAAAACCATGTAGTTCTTTGGGGTGTTTTCTGGGCAAATTTCACATCGTGAAAGGATAACTAATATGTTAGGAACATAAATGTCTTGGGGTCTTGTATAAATTCAATCATGACTTGGAACGAGCTTGTAGTGCTCATGAAATGTAACTGACAAAACCAACCTTGTGAAAAATATTGTTAATGCAAAAAGTGTTCCAGAATTGTTTGTGTTCGATTATGAGAAAAAATGATCTATGGCTTGGTCGTTTAGTCACTGCGACCAATCTTCGATTATTTCAATTAATCGGACCACCACTACAACGCACTGACATATCCATTTACTTCTTCCAGAATGCTCACAGCTATGTAACAGCAGGCTTCAGGATGCAGCTGGACAGAAGCAACAACTTCCTGGTCAAGACCAAACCATCCCTGGTCTATGGTGGTGTCAGCAAGACCTTGGTGAGTCATAGATCTGCAATTTAGAAATATTATCAATTAGGTATGATGTTAAAGCCTACACAATGTTCGAGATGTAATACATAATACAACACGGACTTCACACATATTGTATGTGAAAGGATAAAGATACTGTACACATAACCGTATTAAAATTACGCTTCTTACTTTGATATCCTTAACGTAATGGCGTACAATAATGACAAATTTCCTAATTTCCTAGGTCCACGCAAGCAACACAGAGGCGTTTCTGCAGGGCAAACAACTGGGTGACTCTTCAGTCCTGAGAGGTAAGAGACAGAGAAACTGATAGGGGTGGGTATTGCAAGGAATGTTCACATTGCGATAAATTACGATGCGAAAGCATATATTGCGATATGTATTGCAATATATTGCAAGAAGTTTTCTTTAACAAAAGATACGTATAATCGAGTTAATGCTTGATATATAAAGTAAAAACACAACAAAATCACAATGCTTGATTAGGCGTTAATAAAAACTTTTAATCATGACAAAATACAAATGTAAATAATGTTTGGCACAAATGAAACAAAGAAAGGAACAATTTAAAAATGGAAATATCCGAAGATTTCCGAGTGTTACGAAGTTTTCCGAATGCATGTCAAAATACCGGTTTTCGATCTGCGTATCGCAATACGTATCGTTTTCATGTCTGAACCGGTAAATACCGGTAAACCGGTTATATTGCGCAGCCCTAGAAACTGAGAAAGAAGGCATATTCCATACTATAAGCTATGCCATAGTTTATGCTACCATGCTTCTGTAATGATTACTGAAACATGTCATGCTCATTCAAGGAGAGATGAATTATGTAGCAAAACGGCGTAACTTTTATGATTGCCAGTTATTCCCTGCTGGGAACTTGGTGCCTTAAATAACTTTATATTTTTCATTTCATCATTTGCAGGAGCTGTAGCGACTCTGTCGGCCGAGCTGGTCCCCGACACTACCCCTGACCTGTCCAGTCCAACCTACAGGAAGAGCCTGGCCATGTCTCTGTTCTATAAGGTCAGTATCAGTCATCGTTGTCTGACTGAAACATTTTATTATATTGCTACGAATGTCACCTTTTCTAACTTTGGCTAGTTGTTCTAATTACAAAGATAAAACCATTAGCTGCAATATTGATGAATTTACGGTTGACAGTTAACTGCTATAGTGAGTTAGTGGAGTGAGTTAGTTGGGGTTTTCGCAGCTTTTAGCAATATTCCAACAATGTCACGGCGGGGGACACCAGAAATAGGTTTCACATGTGGGGAATCTAATCCGGGTCTTCGGCGTGACGAGCCAACGCTTTAGTCAGTTGGCTACCCCTCCGCCCTGCTAATTGAATAGTGGATGCTGCACATGCCAACTGTACATTCTCTCTGTATTCCATGTGAGTGTTCATTTCTTAAGCAGACACCAGGTGTCCTGTGTATATGTGTCATAGATCATTGTTTAAAATCACTTGATATAAAATGAATACATTTCAGTGCGTGCTCGGCATGTGTGGTGAGAAGGCAGCGGCAAGATTCCAGAGTGGAGGCACCAACTTGATACGGCCCGTGTCTTCAGGCACTCAGACATATGACACCCGTAAAGATGAATATCCCCTGACTAAACCTATGATCAAAACTGATGCAGCCCTACAGGTAAATAACAGCTTTATGAGTTGTACAGATTCCACACGGTTCACCCCACATGAAACAATGGGAGCTCACGATCGTCATCCATTCTCTGCGTATTGTGATTATAGAGCGAGGTGGGTTTGACGGTGGGTTTTTCGAGTTATATCACGGTGTGTCAACTGTGGGAGCAAATTCCGAAGTTATGCACGTTTTAGAGTGTGTAGTATTCCAGCTAGATGGCACAGGTCTGTAAATACTCGATTCTGGACCAGACAATCCAGTGATCAACATCATGATTATCAATCTACGCAACTGGTATACGATGACATGGCATTGTGTCAACCAAGTCAGCAAGTCTGACCACCCGATCCCGTTAGTCGCCTTTAACGACAAGCATGGGTTACTGAACATCAATTCGAAGCCGGATCTTCACAGGTTCGTGAAAAAATGACACACTACGACACGTTAACATGTCGACAGGACAGGTGTTTGACGTTTACCGCTTACGATGAAACCAGCGAGTCTTCCAAGTAACTTTCTTCATGTACGGATAACACAATTCTGATGAGTACTGCCACATATAATAAATGTATATTCTGAATATGGCAAGGCACGACATGCTGATATTCTTAGTCAAACCTAAATGCAAACAGTTAAACATATTAGACAGGTTAATTGTAATAGAAACACGTTGCATATGATGCCATATAAATGTATGATCTCGCTGCTGTGATCCTTTGTATTGGATCAATATATTTTGGTTCTAAATCACAACGAAACACTTGTACAACCGTCCGACATCATTAGGTAGTATGTTTTGCTGAGTTAACTATTACCTTGCAACTTACATTCGGTAATGTGATTTTCTTTTAACTCATAATATTGATTTTTCGGGAACATTAAAAAATGTAATTTTGTTCCAATCACGATTTTAGTAGCGTATCTGAGTACAAGAGTTTCGGCATAGGTGCATTTTCAATTATATGAAGCTTCGTGTGTGTTTTAGACATCCGGAAGGGTCAAGTTCGTTAACGACATCCCTCCTGTCCAGGAAGAGCTGTGCGCGTCGTTCGTCATCACCAGCGTCGGTAACGCCGAAATAGACACCGTGGACACTTCTGCAGCCCTGGTAACCATCATATACTTGGAAACATAAAAAAATCGCGAATATATACATAAAATTCGATACACCATAGACATATATAAGTTAAAGTAAACAGGTGATATTGAAACATGCATAGAAGTATGTATAGAGATGATATACTTGACAAAACATGCCTGTGTAACTGAAACCCCGTGTATTATTTCCCGAAATCTTATTGCGGGCAATGCTGTTTCGACAGAGTTATCCTGGAGTCCTACGGTACATCTCTGCAGCAGACGTACCAAAGGGGGGCAGCAATAATTTCAGCTACTCACCAACCAACATTGAGGAGGTAAAATATAAATACAGTATTGGTGTATTTACTACGTCAGGCCAAGATCATATCACATTGTAGTCTCCGAACGGCCGAAAGAGCACTTGGCAGTCACACTTGCTGCTGAATTTGAATTTGTATATGCAACTTAAAAGTAAAAGTATCTTCATGGAGCATGCTGGTCGTAAAGTATTACACACACGTGGAACCACTGTGCTGGTCATACATTAACTTGCTGGTGCAACCTAAGTCTGTCGACCGTGACCAGGGATAGAATTGATATTCAGTAACCCATGCTTGTCATAAGAGGGGACTAACGGAATCGGATGGTCAGGCTCGCTAACTTGGTTGACACATGTCATCGTATCCCAACTGCGTAGATCGATGCTGTTGATCACTGGATTGTCTGGTCCAGGTTCGATTATTTACAGACCGCCGCCATATAGGTGGAATATTGCTGAGTGAGGCGTAAAACTAAACTCACCCACTTATGTTATTTAAATCGTTTAGTGTTATGGATGTAGATATGTATAAATTTAAAAACATTCTGATTTTCACGAAGCGAGAGACCTGCATTGCCATTTAAGATGAGATTAATATCAATACATGCTCTATTATTCACTATATTTTCTAAAGAGGTTAACATTTGTTCTCTTTGAATTATATATAATGGACATTCAAGAAAATAATGAAAAGCATTTTCACAATTATGGCCACACTGACAAAGTGCATCATTTCTAACATTAATTCTGAATAAATCATAATCAAGTGTTTACATTACTCGTACCTTGACGATGCAGCCTACGCTGGGCGTGAAGCATTACATCTTCCTTGCTGTTCTGATTGTAACAGGCGGCACACATGAACACACCTTGATGGCTACCACCTTGAATAAACCATGGTTTATTTGTGATCAGGGTTACATTGAATTATAAATACATTATTTGACATTCACGTTTTCTGATAAAGTTCCAATACCTATTATTCCATTTCCGAAAAAAAACGTGTATTTGATTAACACAATGTAAAGGCCCATTTATCAGGCCTTATGACACAAGGCTCAGAGAATACCACTTAATATGACTAAAAAGAACCATATAAATATTTAGTCTGGCGTTTAGATGTGGAGCCAAGTGTTAAACGTGAAGGTGCAACTCTGTGAATGTAACAGGTAGGAAATAATGTCCAGGTTATCTGTTGACAGTTGTTCTGCAGTGGGAAGGTTGTCTACAGTGGTCAACCCATTGGTATCATCGTTGCAGGTAAGGCATCTGGACTTAAGACGTAATCTGTTTACGGCAGGGGTGGAAATAACCCATTGCCCGACGCCCGAGTCCAGTGTTTTTTTCTGTCGGCAAGCAAATTTGTATATAACACTGTATCGGTGTCTAGTTGACTTTCAAATATTAATTATGTTGTTTATTTAAAAAAATCAACAAGAAAACGGCCGGTATAGTGGGCAAATTATCAGGGCAAGTGATTTTAAAGGCCACTGTACCGGAGTACACTAGCAATTTTAAAGTTATTTTCACCACTGTTACGAGATGTCCACTTTCCCTTACACGGTTCTGATCTGGTGGTCTGATCTGATTCGATGACCTGAGGCCCGTTTCACAAAGGGACCGTAGCGCTGAGACTATCGTAACTCCCATACTTTAACACAGAGTTATGACCGTGGTAGATCAGCGATAGGTTTGTGAAACGGGCACCTCGATGATCGATGTCATCGTAACCCCAATTTACGTTGATCGATTACCGTGATGATACAACACAATGTCATGATTACACACAATGCCATTAGAAAGTGAGTTGAGTGAGTGAGTTTAGTTTTACGCCACACTCAGCAATATTCCAGCTATATTGCGGCGGTCTGTAAATAATCGAGTCTGGACCAGATAATCCGGTCATCAACAGCATGATCATCGATCTGCGCAATTGGGAACCGATGACATGTGTCAACCAAGTCAGTGAGCCTGACCGCCCGATCCCATTAGTCGCCTTTTACGACAAGCATGGGTTACTGAAGATCAATATTCTAACCCGGACCACGGGAACCATTTAGAAAGTGGTCAAATGTAACATATGCTATATTTTGGATGCATGATTTCACGGCTGGCCACGACGGGTCTATTTACAAAACCACTTTGTGTAATTGTAATATTGCTGGGTGCAGCACTCTGATCGCAAACGTTGAATTGCTCTTTTTAGACACGGTTCTGTTAATGACAGACCAGATGACGTACAACTAACATTCTTTGAATTTCCATATAACGAGCCTAACCAGGAGCACACACTCAAACCACAGCGGTGAAAACGTGTGTATATTGTCTTTACAAATCGCGTGTGTTGTATTCCAGTTGACAAGCTTTCAGCAGACATCGCAGCCAGCATGGTGAAGGTTACCTACAAGAACGTCCAGCCTCCCATCATTACAATGGAAGATGCTATTCAGAAGAAATCCATATTTCCAAATGTTGCCCAGGAATTGAAAGTTGGTGATGCTGCAGGTAAGCATCCCCTTTGCCTTGATCGTTTAACTGAAACACCTGTACGAGTTTGTGTAGAAACCTTTAAGAGAATTGAAACTTTATTTAAAAATCATTAAATAATATGATAAATATTCTGCGATACTCTTTATCAAAGTTACTTTAAATAGAAAGGATTCAAACGTATCTCATTTCTAACCGGTCTCTGACCAATAAACTTTTTCTAATTCACTAATTCATTGTCTATGTGTGTCTTCTTTTCAGCGGCAATAGCTAGCGCTGACAAGAAGATCTCAGGTCGAATTAAGATGGGACAACAGTATCATTTCCATTTGGAGACACAGGTCAGTCAGCAATGACTTAGCTCACCAGTACATCACTTCTGAGTGAGTTTTAGCAATATTCCAGCAATATCACGGCGGGGGACACCAGCAACAGGCTTCACACATTGTACCCGTGTGGGGAATCGAACCTGGGTCTTCGGCGTGACAGGGGAACGCTTTAACCACTAGGCTACCCCCACCTCACTAGAGACAGGTGAATTGAGTATATGTTGTTGCAATGTCTGTTGTGTCAAGAAGGATTTTTATGATATACTTGTGAGTATAAAATGAATAACATTGTTTGATGCATGTGTTTTTATGATACATGTGAAAATACATGTTTTGTTTCATACAATATACAACTACTACAATATTCATGTGTGTTTACTTCTTTTTTTCAAATTACCATGTGGAGGTAAAACCGTTTAAAGTAAGCTTGTACTTCGAGTTCACTGCGTAATGGTTTGAACTCAGTCAATACATTCATCCATGTACATGTATGTGTGTATGGACTAAGCACGTAATTTCAGTATCAAGTAACACTAATCCCTGTATTGTATGGGTATGGGACTCTATGTGAATAGTTTAGCGAGTTGTGTTGAACATTCAAATATTCATTTATAGCACAATTCCATCTACAGATTAGCATCTGCTATCCTGACGAAGATGGGGTAGGCGTGAGTCTTCTCTCCTCTACACAGTGGCCAGACTTTGAACAAGTGGTCGTATCCAGAGTCCTCAACATACCAGAAAGCAGGTACCTCAGCTGTTTACATTTATAATCGGCAGAAATACATTCGTGGTTTGTAAAAGTCCCGAGCGTCGTATCCAACAGTATTTCACCTTTGTCATGACGTCTTCGAAATTATCGTTCCTGGGCCACGTTACCAATCACGAGTACATCCTGCACGAGTGAGTGAGTTTAGGTTTACGCCGCAATCAACAATATTCCAGCTATATGGCTGCGGTCTGTAAATAATCGAGTCTGGACCAGATAATCCAGTGATTAACAGAATGAGATGAGCATCTATCTGCGCAACTGGGATAGGATGACATGGGTCAACCAAGTCAGCGAGCCTGACTACCCGATCCCTTTAGTTGCCTCTTACGACAAGCATGAGTTACTGAAGACCAAGTCTAAACCGGATCTTCACGGGTGCATCCAGCACGAAGACACGTTATCATGCACTGGACTATACTGAACAAACATGAAACACAGAGATATATTTAAAGAGATTGAATTATTTTGCATGGAAGGCAATTTATTCAACTTAAACAAATAAGTACCTATTCCATGCACATGTATGTAGTGATAACTACATGCAACAACATAACATTGAAGATGAATCTGCAGCATAGGAATTTGTAACATTGTCTTACATGAAATACAAATGTCGTATTTTGTGCCCCTTGTTCTCTCTGCAATATATATTGGTTGCACTTACAATCTCAATGTGTGCCTTAAGAATAAACTATTCTGTCTTACGCTTCAAAAATAATCTTGGTTTATCATGGCAGATTAGGAATGAACATTATCTAATAAACAAGTTGATTCGTATTCATTAATGTTGTTGGCTTTTTGCAATCCCAATGTGTGCCTTAAGAATAAACTATTCTGTGTTACGCTTAAAATATAATCTTGTTTTATCATGGCAGATTAAGAATGAACATTATCTAATAAACAAGTTGATTCGTATTCATTAATGTTGTTGGCTTTTTACAATCTCAATGTGTGCCTTAAGAATAAACTATTCTGTCTTACGCTTCAAAAATAATCTTGGTTTATCATGGCAGATTAACAATTAACATTATCCAATAAACAAGTTGATATGTATTATTAATTATATCTTGTATATTGAGAGGAGTTCGTTGACCTTTCAGTGTCAACCTGACCGTAAAACGCCTCGGGGGATCCTTTGGGGCCAAAATATCACGTGGATTTCTACCTGCGTGTGCTGCTGCTGTTGCCACATACGTCACGAGGAGGTTGGTGCCACGCGAGATGACACTCAGTGCAGTCGTTAAGAATACGTGTCAATACAATACACATCATATTGTCGATATATTCATAGGAATACATTTCAACGTCTTATGGGTACAAAATGTGAAGCCTTGTGTACCCCAGGGCTAAATGCCAACGTTATGGTGTCATAGGCCAAACTTGTTTCTTGTACTAATGCCTAATATAATTTTTTATTGTCTCGCCAAATCATCTGGAGTGTGGCGTGAAACAAAAACACTTTCAAACGTACCGTTTTTCATGTACTAGCATCTAAAACTGGGAACCGAAAAAAGAGATATACGTTCATTTTATTTGGAAAGTTCAAAAAGATTAACTGGCACTTAAGCGGCGTCCAAAGGACTCTTTAACATTCCTATATCTAAGTGTGTAGTAATTCGAATTGAAACTATTTATTACTACAATATATATATAGAATACAAAACTGTTGATGATGTTCTTTGAAAATCAGTATATATGCTTTTTGGCATACATTTACTTTATATGAAATTGGCTGAGTTGTTGTGTCTCCGAATTCAATTCTTACCCAAGTTTGCATTGAACATATTTATTTTTTATTAAAAATTAAAAGCAACAGATAACATTTTACAAAGTGTTAGACGAATTGCATTTGACGACAGTTCTTTCAGTTTTCATTTATACGAGAAACAAACTCGGTAAACTTTCTTTTGCCATTCAGTATACATGTAGCTGGTTTCCTGTGACAAATTTCAGACCTGTCCGCCTGTCTATGAACTTCCATACCAACATAAAGACAGTTGGGAAACGTTTTCCCTACCTGGCGGATTACACAGTAAGTCCACTGTCTTATCATCCTATGGATATGAGCAGATAAATAAATACTCGAATAAAGAGCATTGCTATGTGTCTGCGGAAGGAACGTAACCTACGTCGACCAAGCCACGTTCCTTCTACAAATTCAAATTCTATTCATTAAGCACCCATTTGTCGAACTTACAATTGTTTTGGCGCAGAAGCTGGGCCCCACGTATTCAATATTTAGCTATCATTCTGTGGTTGTGTAGAACATCGGATAACTGGAAGTATTTAGTCCCTTCAATTTCGACAAAACGCGGTATTGTCTTATAACAGACGAGGGTATATTTGGTCTTGGGTTCAAATCCCGATTCGTTTTTCTAGGTTGTCTGCACCATACCCAACCTTGCGACTTCCACCATAGTAGTAAACATCCAAATCATGTTTCGTCTTTTGTCTGCAAACTGCCCATTTTTTAAAAAAAACGACGTTTCCGTATTTGCGGTGAAAGACTTGCTTCACCTTTCGTTTACCTCCCAGATCAAGCTGTCACGTCCTGTTATACATGTAAGTGAATAATTGTTCAAAGCAGCGTTAAACCTAATAGTAGTACAGCTGATGGGGGTTCGCGATCAATCCACCCATACAGGAACATTTGAGGTGTGGCTGAGGTCTCACTACCGAGCCATACACCCATACATTGTACTTGTGGTTTCTTTGTTCTGACTATGTATCTCTGTCAGGTCGGGGTGTCCAATGATGGGAAACTGAAGGGCATTCAGATGAACGTGTACTCAGACTGTGGCTCGTCCTCTAATGACAATGGATTCGAAGGTTACACTTTATGCATTGATAACGGTAAGCACACTCAGCTTTCTCACATAAATAAGAAGCAGGACAAAACAGTAGTTAACTAACGTATAGTATTTTTAATATAATTATATTCTGGGCTTCATTATTGATGAGCACCCACCTATGTTTGATGTCAGACAGGAACAAGTCCCATTAGGAATATTTGGACAACATTTGACTTAAGATCTTTTCCACTTATTTGCAAAGTTTTGATAGCTGCAATGTATTGATTCATTCAATGGTGTAAAATGAGGATTAACTTTTAGCTGCGAACACCAAAACAAACATCTTATGGCAGAGTGTTGAATTTTTACAGCATACTACTGTCCAACGTGGGATTTTAAGCCTGTCGCCCTGAAGACCAATCTCGCGTCCAACACCCCCTGTCGAGGTCCAGGTACAGACATTTGTAACCATAATCACATGTTACTCAGTGTATCTTGATACATGTATCCCTAATTATTAAGAATATATACTGATGGAACAAATAAGGGAACACCACTTCATGGCAGTGTTCCTCTATTTATTCTCAGATTTCCTCCCACAGCACTGTTCAAAGCTGGTGATGAAAACTGGAAAATATTAACGGAACACTTGACTTTTCCTGTGTTCCTTTATTTGTTTCTTTCAGTATATTTTTAATGATAGTCCACCAACACGAATCAAAGCCCCCTCACAATATCATTTCATTTGGCAAATCCTGTTTTCCACACCGCATTTAACCATCGTAGTAATTTGGGGGCTGGTCACGTGATCTCTGAAACCATACAGTTTGTTAGAGATGCATGTACAGCACGTTGGAAATGTGCTTTTGTTATTGTCACTTTTATAAATAAAAAACAACAACCATATCATGACTTTACATCCATATCAGGCAACAAAAGAAACTCACATTTTAGACATTTTTTTTATTTTGACCTTACCCCTTATACTTAAAGACTAATGTCGGAAACACATTTCGTTTGGGAGGGCAGAAGTATGGACGGGATATTTCTACAAAGACCAGGTAACTTGTATGAATGGCGGGTGCTCCGTGTAGGACAGGATATGCTCAGCCTGGAGTCATCACTAATTTCAGTGACCATTCATCATCATCATCATCATATCATATTCAACATTTGTTTGGCTTAACCCAAGTGGAATGTGTTTCGAAACTCGAAAGTGTTTATTCTTTTTTGACGTTTTTTACTTAAAGGTCACATGCAACGTAAAACACAACTTTGCAGATTCTGATACCTTTCAGTATGGACTTACCGAAACAAATCATCAAAAATGCAAATTCAGCTTATAAAGTTGAAAAATAACGCGATGAAAAAAACCGCGCGAAATCGTAGTTCAAACGATTCACTAACTTTCCCCCAGCGCTTGGGGGGAATTGAAGTGGTTTCAGCACCTGGGCTGCGCTCATAGCACATGCGCATTGAAATAGGTTCGCGGAGCTTGGAAGCGGGTTGTCCGGTGAATATTCGGTGAAGGCTTTGTTGTGAGCTATTTTTCTAATGTTTTGTTGATATTTCACAGGCGCGAGCTTTTTATATGTTATTACAGAAGATTACCGATTTAACTGTTTATATAATTCCATTTGTCTATTTCACCACACGTTCTTCTTACCGAGTCACTTTCTCAGTTCGATACTTAAAAGCAATGTCATTATTTAGCGTCGACAGAATTTCTAACTGTGATATAGATATGTCGTTGTCACAGACAAAACTCAAAGTCTAATTTATTGGCACCTATGTGTCTGCCTGCCTGTCTGCTAATGACAATATTCAATACACAATTTCAATCACTGACCACATGCAATTTGAAATTAACACCTATCAGGCTATACACCATAAACAAAACGCATTGATTTATGGCCCGAGTTCGGTCTCTGTCACATTATGTAATTACACAGACAGGCAGGTGTGATACTTGTACACATGACATGTTATGATGTCTGTTGATTGCAAAATGTTATACACAAAAAATGAGCATGTAATTACAAAACCAAACATCTATATATATACACACACAATGAGCCATGAGGGCATCTGCAAATGAACCAGCCGTTACACTTGAGTGCACACCCACCCACTCTGACTGGGTTCGGTATCCCGGCTGCTTCGTTTCTTGGGAAGTAAACCCAAGTACAAAATATTGCACTTTTGATTTGCGATTGTACGCTTATAATTTTGTTTATATGTTTTTTCATAAACAGCAATGTATATTATATGTCATGAATAAGTGATAATTGTGTTATAATTATGTTTGATTTTTTGGTTGCATGTGACCTTTTACTGACCACAGGATCGTGTCCTTCAATCTTCATCATGGAGTCAGTTATGGAAGACGTCGCCAAAGTCTTGAATATAGATCCAATGGAGTTCAGGAAACTAAACCTTTTCGAAAACGGACAGGTGAGTACATGGTCGTCATAACGTGTATTCAAGAGTTAACTTAACTGTGGAGAATAGTCGTTTTCAATGTCTGTTATTTGCAAAAAGAACCTCAAAACCTTCCAACACATTTACTCAACTGGCGTCTCTGAGTTCGAGTTTAAGCTGTTGGTCAGACGTATTCTTGTGCTGTCGCCAGTAAATAGGCATCTACGAGAAGTACTCAGCCAGAGCCCTTTGAGGCGAACTGTAACTTCATTTGAACATTTACCATCTTAGCGCCTCTAAACCATAATGGGAGTTTTATTCTTCCTGGAGATCTGTGATTAAAATTGTAAACGCTGATCCATTGACCGCAGTAATAATTTTAGCACTTTGAGTATGCACTTCAGGTAAGTGAGTGAATGAGTATGGTTTTACGCCGCTTTTAGCAATATTCCAACAATATCACGGCGGAGGACACCAGAAATGGGCTTTACACATTGTGCCCATTTGGGAAATCGAACCCGGGTTTTCAGCGTGACGAGCGAACGCTTTAACCTCTAGGCTACCCCACCGCCCCGAGTTTGCTCTTTGCGTGTTAAATCTAGCGCAATATCTGTACAGGCAATGATCGTCGTCATCATCATCATCATCATCATTATCATCATCATCATCATCATCATCATCATGATGTGGAATTGTGCTGATCACACACATCTTAACACTTATAAAGCTAATTGTCGAAGATGTCACATAGTAACACAAAGAACCCACATGATTTCCATTCTATCACAGACAACAGCCCGTGGAATGGTTCTGAAATACTGCACCATCAACAACATTGTGTCTCAACTGGAGACGTCAGCCGATGTACAGAATAGAAAACAACAGATTGCTGCTTTCAACCAGGTAAACAATTTGCTTCATCTAGTATCCGAAAAAGTATTACTAATTTAAGATTTTAAAATGCGGATGTAATTTTCTGAGAATATTACTGGGGCTTCAAACTGACAAATTGTTGTATTATTTCAGTTTACAAGATATATGTATGGAATCCCAGAACGGGAACTGTCGCGTTATAGCATGTTTGCGATTATACTAACAAGCGAAAAGTATCAAAATTGATCAAAAGAAATATTTTGGCCATTTGTTGCACCGTTGCATTTTTTAAGTTTGGCTGGGTTTTGTAAAGGCGAAAACACAACAGAGCGACAAACCAACAATGTCCCATCTGCGATTTCATACAAATGTGCTGAATGAATATAGAGTTACTCTTACTGCTGACCATGGCCCTATGGGAATTATGTAATGATTATATCATTTGGCAGTCATTGGTCATCAGTGTTTTGTGATAGTGGTCGTCTATATTTCTGATGCGATTAAAGGACATGTACAGTAGAAAGGCTTAAATGACTCATTTATGACTCATAATGAAACAAGAATGCAGAAAGTCAAAGTCCTAAAGGCAATAACAGTGATAAACAACTTGAAAATCTACACGTATTCCAGAAACACTCGAGAGTTAATGAGCAGAGTTGTCATCACGTGAGGTCACAATGGCTTTCAGGCGAACACTGTTTCTGTGTTACGTTTGGTACATTTCTAGCGTTCGCCATTGCATCACTGGACAATGCCAATGATAGAAACGTTGAATTTAGCCCAGTATCCTCAAACATATTAGTCCATATCAACAGCAGTCACACATTGTACCCGACCGCCTCCGTGGTGTAGTGGTTCGAACGTCCGCCCGGAGAGCGGAAGGTCGCGGGTTCGATCCCCGACCGCGTCATACCAAAAGACGTTAAAATATGGTACCCGTTGGTCCCTGCGTGGCGCTCGGCATTAATGGGTACAACAAGGACTGGTCGGCTCGGAGTCAGTATAATGTGTCTGAGTGGGGTATTCATGCTTCACTGCGGCATAGTATCTCAGTGAGCTAGCACTATAAAACCAGCTTCAGTCTGTGCTAGTACAAGCAGCCGCACATACACATGCACACGCATGCACGTCGTCATATGAGCGAAATATTCTCAAGCACGAAGTTAAAACCCAATTTCACCTCACCTCACCTCACACATTGTACCCAAGTGGGGAATCGAACCCGGGTCCTCGGCGTGACGAGCGAACGCGGTAACCACTAGACTACCCCACCTCTCGCAGTTAATAATGTCCTTCAAACAATTGTACTAATATGCACTGCAGTGATCAACATAGGGATATCAGTGATTGTCATTTCGCTTACTACATGCCCTCCACCAACAAAACAGTTTGTGAAACATCGTCTTCCATATATTATAATACAAAAATACACACACAAGAAAAACGAATAATGAAATAAACACAACTTTAAACACAATGAAATATGATTATAGCACCCCAAAATGCCGACCACATTATAATGTGTCTAAACGTGTAATCCACAGTCACGCTTCTCTAACAGCTTCTCGTCAAACAATAAATTATTTTATATTTAGACACAGAATATGACGGAAGTAATCATCAATAGTAGATCCAGAGGCGGGATTCAGGGGGCAAAAACAGTCGCATCAAGTAGAAGATATCCCTACAGATAGCAAACACAGTTCGCTTGAAAAACGATAGACCCAACCCTGATCACGAATAATTGATAATAAATATAGAATCAAATACATTGCATTGGAAATTCGCATTGATACTTTTCGGAAAATCATTCCAAAAGCTAAGACTTGTATGTGTTTTTAGTTTTGTTTTTGTTCTTTTTCATGAGTGAGTGAGTGAGTTTAGTTTTACGCCGCACTCAGCAATATCCAGCTATATGGCGGCGGTCTGTAAATAATCGAGTCTGGACCAGACAGTCCTGTTATTAACAGCATGAGCATCGATCTGCGCAATTGGGAACCGTCTTTTTCATGACTAAGGTGACTTAGCATGCACCCCCACGTTCACGATATGCCTGTGTGGATCTTGCATGTAGCGAAAATCAGTTAATTTGTAATGGAGATTAATACACTTTAAACAAAGGAAAGTAAATACCTTTCTCCACTATGACGCCACAACTGCCCCTAAGCCTAAGATGAGCGTTCAAGTTTTATGCTAGACATGTGGAGGAAATTTCCAAATTTGATGCATTAGTGACAAAAATGATGTCCGATGCACTTCCCTTTTTTGACTTATGCCATTCGTTCCCGAATTATTTCAGGTGAACAATTGTCTAGACTTATAATATGTTTATGACGGGTGCCACCGGTGGCGCAGTATACGCTCACCTTTTCGCGAACACCTGGTATCATCACTATATCTTAGTGATTCATAAACACATACCCTATCATCGTATCGCATTGTGACAATCACTAGATTGTCTGATTCAGACCCGATTTGATAACAAACAACATCGAACAGCTCTAATACTGCTGAAAACAAATAAGCACTCATGATATAGTCACAGTTGTATAATCGACTCTGCTTTTAGCAGACATTTCCTCTGGACGTAGAAAGGGTTTTGTCGCTTCTATTTCGATATGCATACGTGCTGGTTTTGGGATTAGTGTAGTTGTTTAGATAACAAAGAACAGATATGATATTTTTGCATGTGTAAATGTGTACTTGAGTGACTATTTAACATTTTTTTAAAGTTATATTTCCATGTATAGGATAACAGATGGAAGAAGAAGGGCATTTCGGTGATGCCTCTCCGCTTCGAGGTGAACTTCACTCACGCCCATCAAAATGTCTATGTGACGATATTTCACGCCGATGGATCCGTTGCCATAGCGATCGGCGGTGTCGAGAATGGACAGGGAATCAACACAAAGGTTGGTCGGTACATTATCAAATTTACTTTCTTCATTTGTAAGGAGAATTATATTGGAGTACACAGGAACAAGAATACATTTAGTTAGTTAGCTTTTTAGCTTAGCTTTTTTAGTGATTTTACAGCTTAATATAGTAGGTTATTTTTTAGTGATTTTACAGTTGTTTTTCTTTAGTTTTTAGCTTTAATCTAGTAGTTAGTTTTAATTTTAGCTAGTTTGTTAGTTATTTTAGTTCTTTTAGTTAATTTAGCTAGTCAGTGAGTTAGTTAGCCGGTCTTAAATAACACGTAGATACCTTATGCCACAGATTTATATGAACTACGCATAAGCAGAACACTGACTCCAATCCAGACACAACTTTGTTATCCTTTAAAGACCCAGCGCCAGGCAGAGTAACAATTAGTGCAAAGGTTTGGTATCACGTACCGGGATTCGAACCACGGACCTTCTGCTCTGAGGAGAGACGCTCTATCCGCTAGACCACAGGGGCGGTATCTGGAAATCTATGTTCACTTGTTCAGTTGTCTTATGTAGTTAATCCGCTATTCGTCAGATAACATGGTAATTATGAAATGGACATTCATTCATTTATTGCTTGTAGAAAAGAATAAGTGGTCACCGTTTTCATGACAGATGAAGCAAGTCTGTGCCTATGAGCTTGGCATCCCCATGGACATCATCAGGGTCAAGCCGACTACATTACTGACCAACTCCAACTCCATGGCCACAGGGGGCAGTATCACCAGCGACGTGAACGCATTGGTACGACGTGCTAGTCTAGCGTTTCAATTAGTCAACGCTAGTCAATTCAAAAACATCAGCTCTGTGCGTGTACATATATATGCGTGTCCCTGTATATCTACCAAGTGTCAAACACGTTACAAACAAGCAGGGTCACAACACGAGATAATATCATACTATAGTCTGTTTGCAGTGAACACGGACCGATGAATTTCACTTTAAACAAAAAAGTAAATCAAATAAAGTGAAATTAAGATTGCGAATCCTCATAATTTTACCTTGCCAATTAAACATATAAATTTCAGAATTGTATTCAACTTAGGATAAAAGTTGTTTAACAGACGATCATAGATTCAAATCGCTATTATTGGTTTGTATTACAAGGGAGTAAACGCAGTAATTGGAACAGTGATACAAATGCACGTGCAGTACGTGATGAGAGTTAAGTTAGACCAACCCTACTTCTTCTCGCTGTTTCATTTAATGTGCATACCCCCTTGTAATACAAACCAACAATAGCGATTTGAAACTATGATCGTTTGTTAAACAACTTTTATCCTAAGTTGAATAAAATTCTGAAATTTATATGTTTAATTGGCAAGGTAAAATCATGAGGATTCGTACTTCTAATTTCACTTTATTTGATTTACGTTTTTGTTTAAAGTGAAATTCATCGGTATGTTTTCACTGCAAACAGACTATATGTTATGTTTGCGAATCAGTTTTATGCTTAAGTGAATATTCTCCTTTTCGCCACTGATCTGAAACGCCGGGAATATATAATTATAGTAACATAAAAACATTACGTCCGTATTTTTTACATTCATACGTCCGAAAAAAAGTTTCTTGTCTAAATAAGAGGTGCAGTGCAGAAGTTATATTTTGTCAAGAATTAAAGAAATTTACAAATCAACCAATACCTCGTAAAGTAAATGTTTTTCAGTTTGATTGACACATGTCATTGTATCCATATTGCGTACATCGATTCTCATGCTCATCGATTTATTTGCAGATAGCCGCAACATAGCTGGAATATTGCTGCTGAAGTGCGGCATTAAAACAAGCAAACAGGCACATTTTCCCAGCAACATTCAACAAACTAAACAACACAAAATAAAAGTATGTATTTGTATTTATGATTGTGAAATTGTCTACGCTTGTTCCTAATTTGAACTATTAAACTTTGACATTAACAGGGAGTCACGCAATGCTGTCAACAGTTAAAGACCAGAATGGCACCAGTCAAAGCCAAAATGGTCAATCCTACCTGGCCGCAACTCGTTGCGCAGTGCTTTGCCGAAGGAGTGGACTTGTCAGCCAGCAGCTTGTAAGTCCTTGCTGATAACTTACCTGATGGATAAATGCATATGGATTTCCATTATACTTAGGACTTTATGGAATTTTCAACTACGTCATTTGCGCAAGCGTTTTACGACGGCAACGTCAAACAGTAACGCACGGTTTAGGAATCGCGTAACTACCAAGGGGCGCATATGCGGAACTGAGCTCCAATACAGATGACATGTCTCTGTGGAATCAAAAAAAGATCCCCCATGGTGCTACTGTCGACTGCTGAGAGTGCACCAAGCGCACCATAATGCCAAATCCTGTTTTAGGGAACATTACGCCCATGAACCAGAACTATCCACTAGCAACACATTTTGTTCTCTATGGTTCTATATGGGCATGTTATTTTTTATACATAGAGTAGACCCGTGAAGATCCGGGGTAGAATAGGTCTTCAGCAGTCCATGCTTGCCACAAAAGGCGACTATGCTTGTTGTAAGAGGCGACTAACGGGATCGGGTGGTCAGGCTCGCTGACTTGGTTGACAAATGTCATCAGTTCCGAATTGCGCAGATCGATGCTCATGATGTTGATGACTGGATTGTCTGGTCCAGACTCGATTATTTACAGACCGCCGCCATATAGCTGGAATATTGCTGAGTGCGGCGTAAAACTAAACTCACTCACTCACTCACTATACATAGAGTGACTCATTACATTGGAAATTTCTTCTCCTTCTTTGTTTTTGTACAATATATATCGTTTTAGATTTATTATAATTCATTAGTATCGAAATGAGTGCTATTCCAACTCCACACTCCAAATCCGTCCACAGTAATTCCGTATTATTTAATGCATCTTTCTGCAATTAGAGGTTTCGTAGGATATATAACTACACTACGCTTGGAAGTTAGAAGCTTTTATATTTTACAGCTTTAAATTAGGACAAAACTGGATTGAAAACAATTGTAAATGATTTAAATGTATCATGTAAGCATATTTAAAAGTTGTTGGCAATACAATCAAATATTGTCATGTCATAATATATATAACATGATACTCTGTCAAGTATATTAAAGGACTGTGTATGTGAATTATGGGTCGGATGGCCTACATTTCTGAATTAAAGTCAATCAATCAATCATGATATAACTACACTCCTTGTTTGCATGTCAGCGTACCTATATTGTTGTTGCAGTACTTTCCCATCTGGGGACTTTTGTGACTACAACGTCTACGGTGCATCGTGCACAGAGGTCGAAGTGGACGTTCTGACTGGGGAGAATCAGATAAATAGAGTGGACATCCTGTATGACTGTGGAGAGAGGTAAGAACAACAGAGTGGACATCCTGTTATGACTGTGGAGAGAGGTAAGAACAACAGAGTGGACATCATGTTATGACCGTGGAGAGAGGTAAGACAAACAGAGTGGACATCTGGTTATGACTGTGGAGAGAGGTAAGAACAACATAGTGGACATCCTGTTATGACCGTGGAGAGAGGTAAGACAAACAGAGTGGACATCCTGTTATGACTGTGGAGAGAGGTAAGAACAACAGAGTGGACATCCTGTTATGACTGTGGAGAGAGGTAAGAACAACAGAGTGGACATCATGTTATGACCGTGGAGAGAGGTAAGACAAACAGAGTGGACATCTTGTTATGACTGTGGAGAGGTAAGAACAACATAGTGGACATCCTGTTATGACCGTGGAGAGAGGTAAGACAAACAGAGTGGACATCCTGTTATGACTGTGGAGAGAGGTAAGAACAACAGAGTGGACATCCTGTTATGACCGTGGAGAGAGGTAAGACAAACAGAGTGGACATCCTGTATGACTGTGGAGAGAGGTAAGACAAACAGAGTGGACATCCTGTTATGACTGTGGAGAGAGGTAAGACCAACAGTGGTCATCATGTATGACTGTGGAGAGAGAGAGGTAAGACCAACAGAGTGGACCAACTGTATAACTGTGGAGAGAGGTAAGACCAACAGAGTGCACCTACTGTATGACTGTGGAGAGAGGTAAGACCAACAGAGTGGACATACTGTATGACTATGGAGAGAGAGAGGTAAGACCAACAGAGTGGACCTACTGTATGACTGTGGAGAGAGGTAAGACCAACAGAGTGGACATCCTGTGTGACTGTGGAGAGAGAGAGCTAAGACCAACAGAGTGGACCAACTGTATAACTGTGGAGAGAGGTAAGACCAACAGAGTGCACCTACTGTATGACTGTGGAGAGAGGTAAGACCAAGAGAGTGGACATACTGTATGACTATGGAGAGAGGTAAGCTCAACACAGTGGACATCCTGTATGACTGTGGAGAGAGAGAGGTAAGACCAACAGAGTGGACCAACTGTATGACTGTGGAGAGAGGTAAGACCAACAGAGTGGACATACTGTATGACTATGGAGAGAGGTAGGACCAACACAGTGGACCTACTGTATGACTGTGGAGAGAGGTAAGACCAACAGAGTGGGCCTACTGTATGACTGTGTAGAGAGGTAAGACCAACAGAGTGGACCTACTGTATGACTGTGGAGAGAGGTAAGACCAACAGAGTGGACCTACTGTATGACTGTGGAGAGAGGTCGGACCAACAGTGGACCAACAGTATGACTGTGGAGAGAGGTAAGACCAACAGAGTGGACCTACTGTATGACTGTGGAGAGAGGTAAGACCAACAGAGTGGACATCACTGTATGACTGTGGAGAGAGGTAAGACCAACAGGAGTGGACCTACTGTATGACTGTGGAGAGAGGTAAGACCAACAGAGTGGACCTACTGTATGACTGTGGAGAGAGGTAAGACCAACACAGTGGACCTACTGTATGACTGTGGAGAGAGGTAAGACCAACAGAGTGGACCTACTGTATGACTGTGGAGAGAGGTAAGACCAACAGAGTGGACATACTGTATGACTGTGGAGAGAGGTAAGACCAACAGAGTGGACCCACTGTATGACTGTGGAGAGAGGTAAGACCAACAGAGTGGACCTACTGTATGACTGTGGAGAGAGGTAAGACCAACAGAGTGGACATCCTGTATGACTGTGGAGAGAGGTAAGACCAACAGAGTGGACCTACTGTATGACTGTGGAGAGAGGTAAGACCAACAGAGTGGACATACTGTATGACTGTGGAGAGAGGTAAGAACAACAGAGTGGACATACTGTATGACTGTGGAGAGAGGTAAGAGACCAACAGAGTGGACATACTGTATGACTGTGGAGAGAGGTAAGACCAACAGAGTGGACATCCTGTATGACTGTGGAGAGAGGTAAGACCAACAGAGTGGACATCCTGTATGACTGTGGAGAGAGGTAAGACCAACAGAGTGGACATACTGTATGACTGTGGAGAGAGGTAAGACCAACAGAGTGGACCTACTGTATGACTGTGGAGAGAGAGAGGTAAGACCAACAGAGTGGACCTACTGTATGACTGTGGAGAGAGGTAAGACCAACAGAGTGGACCTACTGTATGACTGTGGAGAGAGGTAAGACCAACAGAGTGGACATACTGTATGACTGTGGAGAGAGAGAGGTAAGACCAACAGAGTGGACCTACTGTATGACTGTGGAGAGAGGTAAGACCAACAGAGTGGACCTACTGTATGACTGTGTGAGAGAGGTAAGACCAACAGAGTGGACCTACTGTATGACTGTGGAGAGAGGTAAGACCAACAGAGTGGACCCTACTGTATGACTGTGGAGAGAGGTAAGACCAACAGAGTGGACATACTGTATGACTGTGGAGAGAGGTAAGACCAACAGAGTGGACATCCTGTATGACTGTGGAGAGAGAGGTAAGACCAACAGAGTGGACCTACTGTATGACTGTGGAGAGAGGTAAGACCAACAGAGTGGACCTACTGTATGACTGTGGAGAGAGGTAAGACCAACAGAGTGGACACTGTATGACTGTGGAGAGAGGTAAGACCAACAGAGTGGGCCTACTGTATGACTGTGGAGAGAGGTAAGACCAACAGAGTGGACCTACTGTATGACTGTGGAGAGAGGTAAGACCAACAGAGTGGACCTACTGTATGACTGTGGAGAGAGGTAAGACCAACACAGTGGACCTACTGTATGACTGTGGAGAGAGGTAAGACCAACAGAGTGGACCTACTGTATGACTGTGGAGAGAGGTAAGACCAACAGAGTGGACCTACTGTATGACTGTGGAGAGAGGTAAGACCAACAGAGTGGACCTACTGTATGACTGTGGAGAGAGGTAAGACCAACAGAGTGGACCTATCTGTATGACTGTGGAGAGAGGTAAGACCAACAGAGTGGACCTACTGTATGACTGTGGAGAGAGGTAAGACCAACAGAGTGGACCTACTGTATGACTGTGGAGAGAGGTAAGACCAACAGAGTGGACATACTGTATGACTGTGGAGAGAGGAGTAAGACCAACAGAGTGGACCTACTGTATGACTGTGGAGAGAGGTAAGACCAACAGAGTGGACCTACTGTATGACTGTGGAGAGAGGTAAGACCAACAGAGTGGACATACTGTATGACTGTGGGGAGAGGTAAGACCAACAGAGTGGACCTACTGTATGACTGTGGAGAGAGGTAAGACCAACAGAGTGGACATACTGTATGACTGTGGAGAGAGGTAAGACCAACAGAGTGGACCTACTGTATGACTGTGGAGAGAGGTAAGACCAACAGAGTGGACCTACTGTATGACTGTGGAGAGAGGTAAGACCAACAGAGTGGACCTACTGTATGACTGTGGAGAGAGGTAAGACCAACAGAGTGGACATACTGTATGACTGTGGAGAGAGGTAAGACAACAACAGAGTGGACATACTGTATGACTGTGGAGAGAGGTAAGACCAACAGAGTGGACATACTGTATGACTGTGGAGAGAGGTAAGACCAACAGAGTGGACCTACTGTATGACTGTGGAGAGAGGTAAGACCAACAGAGTGGACATACTGTATGACTGTGGAGAGAGGTAAGACCAACAGAGTGGACATCCTGTATGACTGTGGAGAGAGGTAAGACCAACAGTGGACATACTGTATGACTGTGGAGAGAGAGTAAGACCAACAGAGTGGACCCTACTGTATGACTGTGGAGAGAGGTAAGACCAACAGAGTGGACCTACTGTATGACTGTGGAGAGAGAGAGTAAGACCAACAGAGTGGACCTACTGTATGACTGTGGAGAGAGGTAAGACCAACAGAGTGGACATCCTGTATGACTGTGGAGAGAGGTAAGACCAACAGAGTGGACCTACTGTATGACTGTGGAGAGAGGTAAGACCAACAGAGTGGACCTACTGTATGACTGTGGAGAGAGGTAAGACCAACAGAGTGGACATACTGTATGACTGTGGAGAGAGGTAAGACAAACAGAGTGGACATCCTGTATGACTGTGGAGGAGAGAGGTAAGACCAACAGAGTGGACCAACTGTATGACTGTGGAGAGGGGTAAGACCAACAGAGTGGACCTACTCATGTATGACTGTGGAGAGAGGTAAGACCAACAACACAGTGGATGCCAACTGTATGACCGTGGAGAGAGGTAAGACCAACAGAGTGGACCTACTGTATGACTGTGGAGAGAGAGGTAAGACCAACAGAGTGGACCTACTGTATGACTGTGGAGAGAGGTAAGACCAACAGAGTGGACCTACTGTATGACTGTGGAGAGAGGTAAGACCAACACAGTGGACCTACTGTATGACTGTGGAGAGAGGTAAGACCAACAGAGTGGGACCTACTGTATGACTGTGGAGAGAGTAAGACCAACAGAGTGGACATCATGTATGACTGTGGAGAGAGGTAAGACCAACAGGATGAAACTACTGTATGACTGTGGAGAGAGGTAAGACCAACAGAGTGGATATCATGTATGACTGTGGAGAGAGGTAGTAAGACCAACAAGAGTGGACCTACTGTATGACTGTGGAGAGAGGTAAGACCAACAGAGTGGACCTTCTGTATGACTGTGGAGAGAGGTAAGACCAACAGAGTGGACATCATGTATGACTGTGGAGAGAGGTAAGACCAACACAGTGGAGATCATGTATGACTGTGGAGAGAGAGAAGACCAACACAGTGGACCTACTGTATGACTGTGGAGAGAGGTAAGAACCAACAGAGTGGACATCCTGTTATGACCGTGGAGAGAGGTAAGAACAACAGAGTGGACATCCTGTATGACTGTGGAGAGAGGGTAAGAACAACAGAGTGGACATCCTGTTATGACTGTGGAGAGAGGTAAGACAAACAGAGTGGACATCCTGTTATGACTGTGGAGAGAGGTAAGAACAACAGAGTGGACATCCTGTTATGACTGTGGAGAGAGAGCGTAAGAACAACAGAGTGGACATCATGTTATGACCGTGGAGAGAGGTAAGACAAACAGAGTGGACATCTTGTTATGACTGTGGAGAGAGGTAAGAACAACAGAGTGGACATCCTGTTATGACCGTGGAGAGAGGTAAGACAAACAGAGTGGACATCCTGTTATGCCTGTGGAGAGAGGTAAGACAAACAGAGTGGACATCCTGTTATGACTGTGGAGAGAGAGAGGTAAGACCAACAGAGTGGACCAACTGTATGACTGTGGAGAGGGCTAAGACCAACAGAGTGGACATCATGTATGACTATGGAGAGAGGTAGGACCAACACAGTGGGCCAACTGTATGACCGTGGAGAGAGGTAAGACCAACAGAGTGGGCCTACTGTATGACTGTGTAGAGAGGTAAGTTCAACAGAGTGGACCTACTGTATGACTATGGAGAGAGGTAAGACCAACAGAGTGGACCTACTGTATGACTGTGGAGAGAGGTCGGACCAACACAGTGGGCCAACTGTATGACTGTGGAGAGAGGTAAGACCAACAGAGTGGGCCTACTGTATGACTGTGTAGAGAGGTAAGTTCAACAGAGTGGACATCATGTATGACTATTGAGAGAGGTAAGACCAATAGGATGAAACTACTGTATGACTGTGGAGAGAGGTAAGTCCAACAGATTGGATATCATGTATGATTGTGGAGAGAGGTAAGACCAACACAGTGGACCTTCTGTATGACTGTGGAGAGAGGTAAGACCAACAGAGTGGACCTTCTGTATGACTGTGGAGAGAGGTAAGACCAACAGAGTGGACATCATGTATGACTGTGGAGAGAAGTAAGACCAACACAGTGGAGATCATGTATGATTGTGGAGAGAGGTAAGACCAACACAGTGGACCTTCTGTATGACTGTGGAGAGAGGTAAGAACAACAGAGTGGACATCCTGTTATGACCGTGGAGAGAGGTAAGAACAACAGAGTGGACATCCTGTATGACTGTGGAGAGAGGTAAGAACAACAGAGTGGACATCCTGTTATGACCGTGGAGAGAGGTAAGACAAACAGAGTGGACATCCTGTTATGACTGTGGAGAGAGGTAAGAACAACAGAGTGGACATCCTGTTATGACTGTGGAGAGAGGTAAGAACAACAGAGTGGACATCATGTTATGACCGTGGAGAGAGGTAAGACAAACAGAGTGGACATCTTGTTATGACTGTGGAGAGAGGTAAGAACAACAGAGTGGACATCCTGTTATGACCGTGGAGAGAGGTAAGACAAACAGAGTGGACATCCTGTTATGACTGTGGAGAGAGGTAAGAACAACAGAGTGGACATCCTGTTATGACCGTGGAGAGAGGTAAGACAAACAGAGTGGACATCCTGTATGACCGTGGAGAGAGGTAAGACAAACAGAGTGGACATCCTGTTATGACTGTGGAGAGAGGTAAGACCAACAGTGGTCATCATGTATGACTGTGGAGAGAGAGAGGTAAGACCAACAGAGTGGACCAACTGTATAACTGTGGAGAGAGGTAAGACCAACAGAGTGCACCTACTGTATGACTGTGGAGAGAGAGATAAGACCAACAGAGTGGACCTACTGTATGACTGTGGAGAGAGGTAAGACCAACAGAGTGGACATCCTGTGTGACTGTGGAGAGAGAGAGCTAAGACCAACAGAGTGGACCAACTGTATAACTGTGGAGAGAGGTAAGACCAACAGAGTGCACCTACTGTATGACTGTGGAGAGAGGTAAGACCAAGAGAGCGGACATACTGTATGACTATGGAGAGAGGTAAGATCAACACAGTGGACATCCTGTATGACTGTGGAGAGAGAGAGGTAAGACCAACAGAGTGGACCAACTGTATGACTGTGGAGAGGGCTAAGACCAACAGAGTGGACATCATGTATGACTATGGAGAGAGGTAGGACCAACACAGTGGGCCAACTGTATGACCGTGGAGAGAGGTAAGACCAACAGAGTGGGCCTACTGTATGACTGTGTAGAGAGGTAAGTTCAACAGAGTGGACCTACTGTATGACTATGGAGAGAGGTAAGACCAACAGAGTGGACCTACTGTATGACTGTGGAGAGAGGTCGGACCAACACAGTGGGCCAACAGTATGACTGTGGAGAGAGGTAAGACCAACAGAGTGGGCCTACTGTATGACTGTGTAGAGAGGTAAGTTCAACAGAGTGGACATCATGTATGACTATTGAGAGAGGTAAGACCAATAGGATGAAACTACTGTATGACTGTGGAGAGAGGTAAGTCCAACAGATTGGATATCATGTATGATTGTGGAGAGAGGTAAGACCAACACAGTGGACCTTCTGTATGACTGTGCAGAGAGGTAAGACCAACAGAGTGGACCTTCTGTATGACTGTGGAGAGAGGTAAGACCAACAGAGTGGACATCATGTATGACTGTGGAGAGAAGTAAGACCAACACAGTGGAGATCATGTATGATTGTGGAGAGACGTAAGACCAACACAGTGGACCTTCTGTATGACTGTGGAGAGAGGTAAGACCAACAGAGTGGACCTTCTGTATGACTGTGGAGAGAGGTAAGACCAACAGAGTGGACATCATGTATGACTGTGGAGAGAGGTAAGACCAACAATTTGTGTAAATTTAATATTAAAGGTTGCCAATTTCTCAGTAATTCTTTTGCTCACCTTGGTTCAGCATGAATCCTGAGATCGACATTGGACAAGCTGAGGGTGGGTTTGTGATGGGTCTGGGGTACTGGCTGACCGAACAGATGATCTTTGACCCTACGACTGGCACCGCCCTGACTGATGGAACATGGGTAAGGCGGCCTCCTGAGGAGGGATTGTTATACGCGACTAAAGCATCGCAGGTATCACACTCAGCCTAGTATCACACTCAGACTAGCATCACACTCAGACTAGTATCACACCCAGACTAGTATCTCTACTCGACTAGTATCACACTCAGACCAGTATCTCTACTCGACTAGTATCACACTCAGACTAGTACCACACTCAGACTAGTATCACTCAGACTAGTATCACACTCAGACTAGTATCCCTACTCGACTAGTATCATACTCAGACCAGTATCTCTACTCGACTAGTATCACACTCAGACTAGTATGACACTCAGACTAGCATCACACTCAGACTAGTATGACACTCAGACTAGTATCTCTACTCAGACTAGTATCTACACTCAGACCAGTATCACACTCAGACCAGTATCTCTACTCGACTAGTACCACACTGAGACTAGTATCACACTCAGACTAGTACCACCCTCAGACTAGCATCACACTCAGACTAGTATCACACTCAGACTAGTATCAAACTTTGACTAGTGTCTCTACTCGACTAGTATCACACTCAAACTAACATCACACTCAGGCTACTATCACGTTCAGACTAGTATCACACTCAGACTAGTACCACGCACAGACTAGTATCACACTTAGACTAGTATCACACTCAGACTAGTATCTCTACTCGAATAGTGTCACACTCAGACTAGTACCATGCACAGACTAGTATCACACTTAGACTAGTATCACACTCAGACTAGTATCTCTACTCGACTAGTATCACACTCAGACTAGTACCACGCACAGACTAGTATCACACTTAAACTAGTATCACACTCAGACTAGTATCTCTACTCGACTAGTATCCCAGCAGGCACATCAACGTTGTTTCAACGTTGAGAATACATTGATCCTCAACGTTGAAAATAGATTGAAAATAGGTTGTATATGAAAGTTTTTTTGACGTAGATATCCGACGTGGAATCAACGTTGAAGTTTGACCTATTATCAACGTTGAAAAAAGGTTGATCCTCAACGTTGAAAATAGATTGAAAATAGGTTGTATATGAAAGTTTTTTTGACGTAGATATCCGACGTGGAATCAGTGTTGAAGTCTAACATATTATTAACGTTGAAAATGGGTTGTTCCGTGGTTGTGTCTGGGAGGTATTACGCTTTCCTGTAAATAGACTCGCACTTCATCTTTTAACTACAATAAAGTAGCACCAAACTCCTGCATCCAGCTAAAATACCCAAAAAGCTACATGCAATAAACAGTGTTCAAACAGAAAATTGCAGTAAAAATATTTACCTGATAAAATACTTGGTTAAAATTCCACATTCAATATAATGTTCACTTAAGTTTTATGTCAGTTGGGCGTATAATTCCAAAAGAAGAAAAGAGTATTCCAAATTAAGAAAACTATTTACTGTTGTATTGTTACCTTGAAAAGGTGAAAATTGTCCCGAGAAGACATTTTTGTTCGAATTTCAGCTCTTAGACAGACCCCTGAATAAACACAATGCAATTACTTTCACCATGAAAAGCATCCAAGATGACCAGGAACTATACCTGAAGACAGCACATAAAACAAGTCACTTTTCATGAAATCTTTATGAACACACACGCACACAGAAAACGTGGTTTAATGCATAATGTAAAACATCACTCATGACATAGTCTGTAGGTGATCTCTGTTGTGCTTATAACACAATATCATCTGCATATAGCATCAAAGTGACATTTACGCCACCAATTTCAATACCACAGTTCAGATTTTTCAACACAATTACAACTCCAAAACACAATTATCAGCTCCACTTTTTCTGCCACCCTGCCTGGCGGTCAGGTGGATACTTCAGAAACGTTCCTAACTCTTTCTTGAAATTTGTTTCGATGCATTCCCCATCTCATTCCCCTTGAGATAGGACACATTCTGAAATTTTATATTGAAATACATGAATAAGTTATATGGAAGATATATTGTCTTAAAATGATTCAAGTATTTGTTTAATCAATCACTTGAAAGGTTCATTTCATTGCTGTAACTTGGCATGTGAACATATGAACAGCATCAATACAAAATATGAAGAAAAGTGTAAACAATTTATATTTTCAACCGAAGGAATGGAAGTTTTCTTAAACATTTTCAAAGAAAATCCTCAATTGCAAGTTGATTATTTAATTAGACTGTGAATTACCGGTAGGATGAATTAGACGATGCTTTACTGTCATATATTATTTGCTATGGTCATGATGAAAATGCTGCACTTGGTAATTAACTTACCAGAGATGATTGAATACAACCTTGTATTCTTAAAAGAAAACTTGCCGTTTTGCCCATCAACATTCATTCTTGACATCAAATTGTTTGACATTGTCCTGCAAAACAATGGAAGATTGTTGTCATTCTGTCAGATTTAGTTTTCTAAATAGATTCTCGGAAATGATTATTTCAAATTAATAGGAGTTGAACTGATGTAGCAATTTTGCTACCAGGAGTCATAAATTGTAACAAAAGTCATTTTACATTAAATGATAAGAAAACAAAATGGGTGGTGGTTCACAGGTCAAAGAACAAGTCTATTGTGGGAGGTCTCCCAACACCATTTGTTCCCAAACACAAGGAAGTATGGATCATGGAGTTCTGAAAACAATAATGAGCTCTCATAAGTATACAATATATTCTCTATTATCTACTCTCTCTCTCTTTGTCATTTGTACACTCATAAAACTCAGATAAATAACTTTTTTATAATTCATAAATGTTTACACTTAATCTCTTATAGGAACGCTTAGAAAATCTCTCATATAATGAATTATGTGTGCGTATTAACTATGCTTCTCTGAATCATGAACAATAAAATAATGAGATTAAACTCTACATTGCCAGAAATAATCTATCATACCATGAACAATAAGACATTGAATAACATCTCTTACAACTCCAATCTACACTCAAAAAGACTTAAATGTACTCGTAAACAAACATAGCTGGCACACGCAAATTCTTGGAAACAGTGCATCTCTGACTCTCAATTCCAAGAAATGGAAATCCTACTGTGGTGATCGGAGCTGTCAACCGGAAGTTGGAGGACTCGACGGAAAGTGCCGGAGACAGCCGATCGCCACAGCGAGTTCGTGGAAGCCATTTTGTAAGTATGAATTGCCTGTTTCAAGGGTCTACCCTAAACCGTAGATTTGGGCGCTAATACTTGCAAGGTGCGAGCCACGGCTTACTCCACAGTGATCTAGTATCGTAGTGGACACGGTGATCACTACAGTGGCGCTGTGACAACGATTCTGAGTGAGGAATTCCATTTTTCTCGCTCGGGGCATCGCTCGCTACTGTTCTGTTTTCCCGCGCTTGGGAGACCGCATGGTCTTCCACCCAAAGTGGGTGTAACAGAAATTCAGTGGGTTAAAGTATAGATATAAGGGTTTTCTAGTATCTCCGTACCTATATCGGAGAGGGGAGGACTAGTTATCGTTCTAAAAGTAGCTTAGTGGAGCTTTTTAGGGTAGTTTAGGTTACCCGCGTGGGGAGCACGCGGGCCCGGGGACTTACTGGTCACCCAGCCAGCTTCAGCTCAGCGCTGTGGTGGGGTTGCAGAGCGAGCGAGACTGCATAGCGTAGATAGAACTTATTTAGGGTCTTTCGGTGCTAGGTAGAGTAATTTCAGGGATTTAGTGTGTTTTCGTGTTTCCCAATGTTACGCTCTGTGCTGCCTGAGGGTTTCCACTGCGCATGACCGGGGAAATTCAGTGTTTACTCCGGAGGCTGTGTTGACATTTGACTTTGGATAATTCAGCGGTGAACTTGTTGCGCGAAGGACGGTGTTTTGCAGCGGATTGTGTTTATTCATGGATATATTCGTGTGTGAGATGATTCATGGATTGTGTATTTCTATGGAGGACTATTCATGGAATTTTTCGTGGGAGAAAAGTCACGGTAAGTGATGTGGAACTCATAACTTCCAAGTAGGATAGATGTCAGTGAACTTTGTAGCATGCATGTGTGGAGCTGAGCATGTATATTGTATAACGCATGTGTTGTTGCTAGGAAAGGGTATCACTGTAATTGGGGATAAATGACTCAACACCCCATCCACCAGTACTAGTACGGTGGGATAGTGACATTGATACCTAATCTCAACCGCTACTCGGTGGGATAGTGACATTGATACCTCATCTCAACCGCTACTCGGTGGGATAGTGACATTGATACCTAATCTCAACCGCTACTCGGTGGGATAGTGACATTGATACATAATCTCAACCGCTACCGGTGGGATAGTGACATTGATACCTCATCTCAACCGCTACTCGGGTGGGATAGTGACATTGATACCTAATCTCAACCGCTACTCGGTGGGATAGTGACATTGATACCTCATCTCAACCGCTACTGGTGGGATAGTGACATTGATACCTAATCTCAACCGCTACCGGTGGGATAGTGACATTGATACCTAATCTCAACCGCTACTCGGTGGGGATAGTGACATTGATACCTAATCTCAACCGCTACTCGGTGGGATAGTGACATTGATACCTAATCTCAACCGCTGCTCGGTGGGACAGTGACATTGATACATAATCCCAACCGCTACTCGGGAGGATTTGGACTCTGCTATCCCCGATCTCTACTAGAGGGAGAATAGCGACAGCTATCTGAGACACTTCAAGGTGAGGGGACCGTTCTGTGCGTTGACTTTTATCATGGCTGCCAATGTGGTACACGTGAACTTTGTGAACCCCACCGAGTTAAAACATATTGGGCTCTCCAGAGACCAGGTGGATAGGCTCATGTCAATTAGGAGCCAGGGGTATAACATCACCAGGAAGAGGTGGAGAATATGGAGGAGTTCCGTATGGATCGAGGACGCTATGTCATTACTCTCATTTACATTCAATGGGTTATTGAAGGGAGTGGCCCCGCCGCCAAATGAGGACGGGGAAAACCATGAGGTAGCCAGCGCGCTCAATGTCGAGGGTTCGACCCAGGGTG